ATGAATAAATCACACAATACTAGTTGGATCATGAGTCAAAAGAAGATTAGGTAACTGGGACAGATGTTTCTAAACACATTTTGGAAATATGCTTGCTATAATACATGAATTTTTTCTAGAAATTCCTAAGGACAGATAGTGTGATATATGCAAAAACTATCATTAGACATAACTTTTCCTTGTATGTAGTAACACCTTATATTTAGTTATAAAACTAATTAAGATTTGCATATTAGATGGTCTTTATATCTGAGTGTGTCTTTCCTACAAGCTAAGTAGACCAAATATTTTAGACATTACCCGAATCACTGAACAAAAGTGGTTATAGAGTGTGCCAAAGCCTGTTATGAAATGTTCCACAGGTCAACTGATAGACCTGTATTTATTAAGTATACATAAAAAATTTTAGGGTAGACTATTTTGCCTCTCACTCCTGTTGAAAAAATTTACAGTGATAACTCCAGTTCTATTAAATTAGTATTTATTTTAAAAGGAGTATGTTAAATAATTATGCTCCAGTTATATCATTGTCCTAACATTTATTTTTTTTATTCTACAGTTCACTGGTTCTGAAAATACAATGTTAAATCTAGTCCAGGCTTCTAGAATTTTTGAAAAACTATGTAAAATTTTTAGAAATATAAAACATCTTATGGAATTTCCTATGCAATTTGATATGCAAATATCATTGTCAGTGAACACTTTCCTCCATTGAGTAATGTTATTTTTCTAATTTGTGATGATTTTCTCACAAGCTCATATTGTGATCAAGCAAATATTTATGAATGTAGCCCATTTCCTCTGTAGGTCATGCCTGATATTTCAAACATTATGAGCACAGTGTTAGAAGTGTATGTTTAGTGTTTACAATATTTTTAGTGATAACAATAGTTGCAGTCTAGATTAAGCTGTTTAGGAGTTTGGATTAAGAGATGCTATGTGTTATTGTTTTCAACTTTATTTTCAAATTATGATGCTATCATATCTATGGACAAATAATTATACAAATTAATCATAGAACCTGTGACTTTACTAATTTACTAAATCATTGATAGTAACAATGTATATGATATCTTACAGATTCTCTACACTAAAGATGATCATATCTGTAAGTACAGCTGATTTGACTTTTTCTTTTGTTTTTAAGGGTTTTCGACTCATCCATCTACTTATTGGACTGATTGGTTGGTTATTATTACGTTGCTTCACTAGCCAAGACCTCCAACATAATGCTGCATAGAACTCATGGAAGTGGGCATCCCTGTCTTGTCCCTCATGTAGTTGAACTTGTTCGGGATCTTACCAATAAGTATAAAAACTAGACATACGTGTTTACTATTCTTTGTTTTGTAAAGTGTTTTATATTACATTGAAAAATTCCTCTTTCAGTTATTTTTATATCTTCTACTATGGGTTTGTTGATAATAAAGTCAATTTTACTATAAAAAAAAGAGGAAATATGGGCTGGGAAGGTGGCTCAGTGGTAGAGTGTTTGCCTTGCATGCATTAGGCCCTGAGTTTGATTCCTCAGCACCACATAAGCAGAAAAAGCCGGAAGTGGCACTGTGGTTCAAGTAGTAGAGCGCTAGCTTTGAGCTGAAGAGCTGAGGGACAGCACCCTGGCCCAGAGTTCAGGCCCACGACTGGCAAAAAAAAAAAAAAAAAGAGAAAATAGTTGCATTGATAGTTTATAGGAATTAGAAGTAAAAATAGCCATTGGGTGATTTACTGTTCCTTATGAGTTACAATAAATGTCCTGATACTTTAATAGGTATAAATAATATCATCAAAGACATTTTATTTGCTTGACAATGTTTATACTTAAAGCTACTAATGTTAAATAAAAGTGGCTAATTCTACAGGAATCCTAGATATATGACAATATTCAGATTTGCAAGAACATGAGATATCCAAATATAGATATAAATATACATGTAGATAAATATTCTAATAATTTAAGACAATTATTTCTAAGCAACCAAAGGAATATCCATTTAGTTCTTCTGATCTTTGAACTAATGTTTTATCAGGATTGCAATATCATAAGAAGATTTCAATAAGGATCTCTGATAAATACCCTCTGAATGCCCTAAGGCCTATGTTTGTTCTTTAGAAGGAAGGTTATTAGCCCATATGATCAAAAATAATAAAATCTATATTCAGAAAGTATTATTTGAATTAAAGCAAAGGAAGATTCAAATCATTTATGTTGTTTGGAAGTCTCAGTTTCTGTCAGCTGTGTATTAAGTTATAGACTTGGCTTGAGATGCATTTCATTCATCTGTATAAAATGATAGTTGCTCTACCACAAGTTAAGTACTGCATTTGAAGTATTACAGCAATACATTTTTGTGTGTTTTTTTTAGAAATTTAGAATATTTTAAAAATTACTTTATGGAAAATAATATTAGTAAAACTTAAAACCTACCATTAAGGAAATACATAGGATTATATTTAATAAATACTTTATATTTATCATAATTTTTTTATTTTCAAAATGCACTAAACGTTCCATACTCTTAGAAAATAATTTCAAACCCTGAAGAGAAAAACTTAAATCAATTAATTAAACACTATTTCCTTCACATACCATAGACTAGCATTATAGGATGTTCTAAATGAACCAGTCATTGACTTAAATCTTCACAAAAATTCCATTAAGCACAAATAATTTTTGCTTCTTTTAATTAGTGACTAAACTGAAATTTAAAAATCAACCTCCAAATGGCTGAGAAAATGTGCCCAAACTAATTTTAACATAAGATACATTATTTCAATTCAATTCATCACTCCTAATAAAAAGAATATCAGTCATCACAACGAATTTGTTGAAATCATGAGAAAGAAGCATTAAAGCAACTTTGTTTTATTCTTTTTTAATTTTTTTAATTTTTCAAAAAGTTTTTTAATTGTGAAAATACAGTACAGAAGGGTTACAATTACATGAGCAAGGTAATAAGTACATTTCTTATCAAGCATTGTTGCCTCCTCCTTTGTTTTCCCCTACCATGCCTACCATTTCTACAACTACACTTCCTTCCCCCTCACGCCTGTTCTTGTCAGCATCTGTGACTGTATTTACAAGACTATGCTGGCTTTACATTATTCCAAGATTTAGCAAGTTAAAGCATAATATTTTGAGTCTGTGTTTATGGCAAAAGAGCCATAAATTTATCTCATCCTCATCATGCAGATTGAGTTTAGCACTGGATAAACCTAATCTTGAACTATTATCCTTGATTAAATTCTAAGCTGCCACTTTTAGGGTCAGATGAAGTTAAGAGAAGGATTCTGAGATTGCTAATTACTGTAACTAATGACTGTGGGCTTCAATTTCCTTCCAATTCTTCATACAATTAATGTGGTTTCTACACACCATGAAAGATTTTCCCATGGATTCCCATCTGAAGATGTTTCATATTTGTTCCATTTGGAAAGATAAGAAAGACTCTTTCCATTGACTTTTAAAACACTTGGAAATGTCAATTCCTTATTCCAGAGATTTCTTTATAAAAAGGAATACAGAGGCATTTCTATAGTAAAAAAATACCTTCTGGTTTTATGACATTTAATGAATTTGATAACAAATGTTAACAATTCGGAACTGAAAAGGAACAACAAAAAGTACTGACAAATTGAAATGTCTTTGGATAATTTTGAGTAAAATGAAAAATTGTGTGGTGTATGCTACTTTGTCCAATTGCAAGAGAAAGTTTATAATCCTAAAGTGCATTCCAAATCATTCATGTAGGTGTTAGTATGAACACATACATAGATACTTGTTTCTATATCTACTCATGTACATTAACAGTAATTCATCATGATCAAGGTTTTCTTTCCTTCTTTCTTTATCAAGGTAGTAATTAAGTCAATTTGATATGGCCCATATTTCAATATGAGATTGACACATATGTATGTATCCCAATTTATAAGAATATCCTAACTACTAAATTAATTGCATCACCAAGTTTTCACATCATTACTAGCTTGGTTGAATCTCAAAAGTGTTTCCAGAATTTCTGTCCCCATTTATTTACAGTTGTACCTAAACATGTTCCTTTTTACTTCCTTCTCAAATGTATGTGTTTCTCAATTTTCTCATATTTGTAGCCCAGTTTTTCTCCTCTGAAGTTTAGAAGAATTATTTTTAGTATTTGGTCATAACAGCTTGAGTAGCAGGTATGATTAAATAAAGATTAAAGGTAGCAGAGGATCATGAAAGGGGTGGCATACACTTAAATTAGTTATATTCATAAACTACTTTGTTGAACAGCAGTTTCTTTGTGCAAATAGTTAAATATATATATTTTTATATATAAATATATATATATATACTTTGTATTCTGAGTCTCTGATAAGACAGTGCTCTTCCTAACTATAGTAAATATTAAACTCAGTTCAACATATGTGTGATATACAAATATGATAGTTTATTTATATATACCATATATAATATAGACTAATATATATATTTTTTATAAATATATATATTCCAAAGGGTAGACTTGGGAGGATCAGGCAGTAGTTAAGTGATCACACTACAGCTCTATTTCAAACGTGACTACACCCATATCAGAAGCTCAGTAACTTTAATATTTGGATTCCTCCTCTACATTCTTCCTTTAAACCTCCAAGGTTTTTTGTTTGTTTTGTTTTTGTTTGTGATGGTTAACACTACAAAGTGAGGCTCAGGGATGCAGGTCAGCAAAGTGCTATGTTCAATTGCCATATCCAAACAAATCAAAGTGAAAATCCTAGACCGAAATTTTGAAGTTTAATAGGAAGCAAAGATAGTGACTTCAATTGTGATGGAATCCAGTCCTAATTTATTCAAAGAGGAAGTGACCATACTCTATGGTGGGACTGATGACTATCATTGCAAGTTGATCAAACAAACACTTTAATTATATAAATAAGTATAAATAGATACAAGTCAACCTATCTTCTCACAGTGACCATTGACCAAATCTGTCTATATTATGCAAGAAGTATGATGAGTGTATATATGTGTATGTGCAAATATGCATTCACATGCATCATCCTAAAAATGCGTAATCTCTGACTCTGATGCCATGTTGTTGTAGCTTTTGTTCTTGGGATCAAAGCCTGGACAATGGCTCAGGTTGTCTTGCCTGAGTCCATTCTGTAAGGCATATCCGGAACCTTGTTTCCAGGCACTACTGTTCTCATGGTAATCCTGAGAAAAATACAAAAGACACAAGTTTTAAAAGGAAAATCTTAACGTACTTCACATCAATATAAAGATGTTACTTAGGCTCCCTTTTTCAATAATAATAATAATATACCAATATAATTGTATTTCAAGTCTCTCTGACCTAAAATACTTCCCAACTGATGAAAGTAATTGTCTATTTCTAATAGTAATAAGAACAATTTAATTAGTAATGATAATATCTTCAGTTACTTAAAGAAATGCATAACTTGTTGATTTCATTCAACATTCCTGATGTAGTGTTATTAGCTCATGAGGAATGAGAGCCCTGTTTCTCAGGCAGTGGTGGTCTACTTCCTATTAGGATCAGCAATCTTTCTTACTGCTAACAAGAGGCCCAGTATGTAATATCGCCTGGAAGCTGCTCAGCATTGACAATAATGACACCTCAGTGTTCTCTGCTACTCTCAACTCAGCCTTGAGAAGGGAGGCTTTGCAACAACAGAAATGATTACTTATTCCCAGAAATTTACATCCAGAAAAAGGTCAGTAAACTACTAAATAGAATTGTTATTTCAAAAACTTCCTCATAATGTACTTATGCAAACATTAGTTTGTTCTCTCAGACACCTCCTTAGCAAAGTAAGTTGCTGCTCTGGCTAAATTTAAGTTCCAATCAGAACTGTCAATTGTCAGTCAGGACAGACCACTCATTTGCCACATCTCTGCTAACACACCAAGACTGACTTCAGAACCTAAGTGTGACTGTGCACTCCTATTTCATTAAAGAAATGTATAACTTGTTCATTTCATTCAGCATTCCTGATGTAGTGTTATTAGCTCATGAGGAATGAGAGACCTGTTTCTCAGGCATAATTTATCTAGTTCCAATCCAGACCTTACACTTAAAAGATCTCCTTGAAATCACTTGAGCCTAGAACCTTACAAATATCAACATCTGAACTTTGTACTCTGATAAGACAGTGCTCTTCCTAACTATAGTAAATATTAAACTCAGTTCAATATATGTGTGATATACAAATATGATAGTTTATTTATATATACCATATATAATATGGACTAATAATAATGTATTATATATTATGTATAGTATATACATAGTACTAATATATTACTATACACAATAAACGTGTATGTTTTTTAGTATATTTTATATATCTGTATATTTAGACGTTTGTATTAGTACATACCATAAATTAGTTATATATTAGTATACATTATATATTATTATATATTATGTACTAGTATATATATATTTATATTTGTATTAATATTTATTTTAGTCATATATTACAAGCTATATATTATATTTACTATATAACATATACTAAAACACACATACACACATAATCTCATGACGTTTTCTAGTGAGGAGAGCAATGGACAGTCCAGAAATATGTGCTATGATAAGAGTATTTACTGCCAATTCTAAACAGACTAAAATGTCTGAGTCTGAATGAGGAAAATAAATTTAAAATTATACATATATAGCCGGGCGCCGGTGGCTCATGCCTGTAATTCTAGCTGAGATTTGAGGATCGCAGTTCAAAGCCAGCCCCAGCAGGAAAGTCTGTGAGACTCTTATCTCCAATAAACCACTAGAAAACAAGAAGTGGCACTGGCACAGTAGCTCAAATGGTAGAGCACTCACCTTGAGCTGAAGAGTGCAGGGACAGTGCCCAAGCCCAGAGTTAAACTCCACAACCGACAAAAATAAAATAAATATATGTATATATACATATACATATATTATTTACAAATGTATTCTATATGTGTGTATAGATAGACAAGTAGATATCACTCCTGCCACTAGTCAAGTTAGAAGGTCAGGCTTTTAGTAGAATAGCCACAAACCTATCAGAAACAAGGTCTTGCCGCTCTCAGATATCATGGTAACTCAGCCTGATCAGTGTTCTGTCAAGAATGTATGTCCTACCTAGCTTTGTTCCCCTTCTCTACAGCACCCTGACATCCTGCTTCAAGTCATTGTATGTCCAGTTTTGTCAGACTGGTCATCTTTCACTGATGTAAACTTAGTAATACTTAGACAGCGTCTCTATTTTGACATGTTTAGTGCAGTACAGAGAATGTGGAAGTTAGGTACATCTTATTGCTATGTTGTCTGCAAGTTGCCCAAATATTCTATATTTATATTCCAAAGAATGAGAATTGTTTGTGTTCATTGTACTCTATATAATTATCCTCCCTAGTTCTCAGATAAGAAAAACAAATGAGAAGTTAAAACATTGTTCAAAGAAAGTCAATCATGTAACCAGACAAAGATATATTTACCTATCCACGTATCTCTATGTGCTTAAAAGACTGAGGTAAATCTGGAGTTGAAATCTGGATGCTTTATGTTCTGACATTCGTAGCCTTCCCTTTCCTTGAAGCAGACTCAGTTAACTAAATGGAATTCTAGGGAGTCAACACTCACTGTGAAAAGCTCAAATACCTCACCTGCTCTGTTTCACTGTCATGCCGAACGCCACACCAGCACAGAGTTTTGTATTTTTTAGACCAAAAGCAAAATAGATTGCAAACTGGTCTAATTAAGAGTGGGTTAATATCGTTGCCATTTTGCAGACCTATTAACAAAGAAGAGATGATAGATTAGACCACAAAAAGTATCAGGACTTTCATTAAGAAATTAACCATTGCTGGGAACCAGTGGCTCACGCCTGTAGTCCTAGCTACTCAAGAGGCTGAGATCTGAGGATCGAGGTTCACAGTCAGCCTGAGCAGGAAAGGCTATGAGAATCTTATCTCCAATAAACCATTGGAATATTGGAAGTAGTACTGTGGCTCAAGTGGTAGAGTGCTCACATTGAACTGAAGAGATCATAGAGCGCCCAGGCCCTACAACCAACAAAAAGAAAAGAAAACAATTCACCATTATTTACTTGAGAAATAGGTTATTTCTTTCTATATGCGGAAAATGAGTCTCATTTAGAGTTAGCTGCAGAAAGAGATGGAAACTAGTTTTCAGAAATCTACAAATTGTCTGTTCAGGCAAGTTCAGAACTGCAGAACCAAAAATCATATATATTTAAAAGTATTTATCATGGAAAATATTCTTTTAGAAAACTTTACAGTTCAACTGAAGAGATAGTGGGGAACCATATTACTACCTTCAGCAAAGCTCTGCTTTATTCTAATCAGATATTTTCAAGATCACTTAAATTAGAACCTGTAAAATTAAAAAGATTAATTGTATACTAATTCTTCCTTTCACCCTGCAACAATGTCATGGACAGGCAACCCTCATGTGTTCCCATGACCATTCTACATTTAGAAAAGCATCACTGATACTCATACCAACATATAAAGAGTAAGGGTGTTTCTCCTCTCAGAACCCATCCAGTCTTCTGTCACCATGGCTATTCGTGAATATCAGTCTCAATCAATGATGCCAAGAATGTGATTGCCAGTTTAGCAACCACTAGGAGGAGCAGTGGACTGGAAATTAAACATCACATTCCTTCAAGGTACCAGATACAGTCTGTTCACAAGTTTGTTCTCAAATTCCTAGCTAGAGATTAATCAATACATAAATATATACCAACAGATTTGTAAAATTCGACTTCAGGTTCAAATAACATATTCCCTAACGTTTTGAATATCTCCAAATATGTTTTACCAAGTAGAATTCTACTGCTTTTGATAATAAGTATCCATTAACACCTTTTGAAGAAGCCTATTTTATAGAGATGAATCCCCAGAGAGGTAGGTATTGTTAGTAAGGAATGTTTAAGACCTAATAAATGCTGGAAAGAAAGTGACTACCTGTGCTCTTAGAGCCTAGGTCACATTTCATTTGTAAATATGTAGGTAGTGAAGGAGGTTATACAAAACCTGGACTTCTTTCCAAGTGTGAATCTAACTCATAAGAATTTAATTTAAATTCCACCCATCTCTAGGATTTCAAACAGAGAAAATGTTTGTCAAATACTCTTATAAATAATGCAGATCTATAATGTCCAAGACAAGATAAGAGATTTGCTAATGAAGGGCTCTTAGTTTCATATGGTTTACATTGTATTTCCTTTCACAGTTAAAAAAAAAAAAGACTTGTGGGAGATAATAGATAGCAAAGCAAAGGAGAATTTAATGACTTTTTTTTTGTCAGTTGTGGGTCTTAAACTCTGGGCCTTAGCGCTGTCCCTAAGCTCTTCAGCTCAAGGTGAGCACTCTACCACTTGAGCTACAGCACCACATCCAGTCTTCTGATGGTTAATTGGAGATAAGAGTTTCACTAACTGAGTAGCTAGGATGACAGGCGTGAGCCACCTGCGCCCAGCTTTAAAGACATTTTATGAGTAGGATGATTAGAAATAAAAATGAAATTGGTATTTTTGTGTTTTTCATTTAAACATGGGTGTGTAACATATTTAACAAACAAAATCTTAGAATTTCATCATAAAGAACACAGACTACAGGTCTACAGACCTGTCTACCTGTTCATGGACATAATCATCCAGAAAAGAAAGTCAAAGCAGATGAGATAATTTTATGTAAACAAGTGAATTTTTCTCAAGAAAACAGAAACAGGCTTGAAGATGAAATGTCTCTACTTAAATTGCATCTTTGAGTCATTTTTGAAAAAAAGGTTTCTTATTCCCTGAACTGAGTAAGCCCTGTGACAAGATCCTAGCCCCATGAGAAGAGAGTTCTCTGGGATGCATCCTCTACGTGTCTCCATTGCTGTGTGCTCATTGCAAGACACAGCCTCCTAAACCCCTCACAGAAGCCCTAAAGACAAGACAAGCAGTGAGTGAGGCAGGAAGCCCTGGGGGTAGAGCAAAAAGGATCTAGTGGAAAAAAAACCATAACTTGAGCAATCTTGGGAAACAAAGTTCGTTTTTCGACATAACCACTCTGGGTCTTGGTGCTATGCTTAGCTTTTTTGCGCAAGACTGGTGCTCTACCATTTGAAACACAGCTCTACTTCTAGGTTTTTGGTGGTTAATTTGAGATAAGAATCACAGACTTTAAATGTTATTTTTATTTTATATGGCTAAATTCGAGAAAGACAAAGTAACTTTCATCCTTCTGTTAATAATGAAGAGTTTAAAGGGTATCTTGGCCAAGAACACCTTTCACCAGCTGATGAAGAGTAATGAGAGTGTAATGACATAAATAGCTTGGTAGAACAAATCAACACAGGACTGAATGTATTTGTCATCATTATGAGTCATATGAATAGCATATCTTTGAGGTCCAGGCTAATCTGGAAGGAAGATTATTGAAATCATCACCTAGTAACACCAAACAAAGCCTGAGAATGTAGCTCAGTGGCAGAGAATTTGTCTAGTATACACAAGGCCTGTGGGTTCAAATGTTCAGTCCCAGCACTTAATTAAAAAAAAATGACCAAGCAAGACTCAAAATAGGATGAGAACAGGCTCACAAAGCCTCTGCCTTCTCTAATGACTTTAGTTTTTTAAGTATTTAAATTACACTTATAAGTTTCAGTGAGCATTATAAAAGATTACGAAAAAGTTCCGTATTTACAGGACCCTTAGTGACAGAACCCCATTTGGGAAGAGAGGTACCACATAGCTGAGACATCTGGCTGCCAAGCACAATGCTTTCCTCAAAGAAGAAGTGATATAATTTGCTGCTAATGTGGTGCTACCACTTTATTACCTCTAAGACTTGACACATTTTGAAGGAAAGCAAACACAGGAATTGACACCAGGATAATCACCCATGTCCAAGATGACCCAGGATGTTTCCATCCTGATTCCATGTAAGTGCTACTGCATTAACACTCACACCAGAACATGTTCATTCTGATGCACATCTAGAAAATACACAGACTAGCAAGCCACATCCTGCTTGGGATGCAAGCAGTTTGACTTCTCATCAAGTGTCTTCGCTGACAACTAGAAAAGTAGACAGTCTTCTAGGTGAAACTATTTATATAAGTAAAGATGTGAGGAATCATTGCTATCAGGCTGAGAAATGACATTATTAGCATGGTAATGGTGGGGTGGTGTTATAAATTTTGTATTTTATTTGCTATCATTCCCATGATTTTCTTCAATAAATTTAATTGAGTGTTTAGCAGCCCTGCCTAGAATATTAAGGCATCGGAGCTTGCACATAGCATTTCCTTTCCACCATTAGCAGAAAAGATGCCATTCTGAATTTGTATTGAGTACAAATGGTAACTGCCCATGACTTTATGGACATTTAATGGTGGTACAAAAGTAAAATATCTTAATAATTTATTTAGTTAAACTATTTATTCCAAGTTAGAGGTAAAAGTGCTGGGGCCCATTCCATCCCACCAGCACAATGATTGATCCTTCTAATCCTTCATGGATTTGGGGACAGGAAGGAAAACAGACTCTAGTGAGACTATGACACAAAGTATAGATGTTTAAAACCAGTACCAAAAATGGCAGAGCCCCATGCCTGCAGAGGAACAGACTCCAAAAGATGAAGAAATTACAGTAACAATAAGAGCTTCATGAACACATGAAGCAAGTTAGCCCAGGCAGATTCACTAAGATAGACAGTGAAGGAAACCTTCATATCTTAATGACGTGAAGAGAAATGATGACTTCGATGATTTAGGCTTCCTTAATAATTACAATGTTACAAAACATTCCTCAGACTGGCTCTCTGAGAACCATGTTTCAGAGCATCTTACTTTCTTTCAGGAAACATGAGCTGAATATATTAATGCTCTCATATATACTGATTCAAGAGATGGTTTTGTGTGTCAGTTTGAGAGAACAGATATGTCCCTGGGAAGAAGGCTTTCCGTGGTGGACTCAAAACTGAACAAAAGAGACAGCCTTTTGTACCACCAGTGCATGAAGTAGCCCTTATCTTCATTGGTCCCAAGGAGGGAACTCTAAGTCACCAACCTGTGATGAAGCTGATGATTATTCCAGCACCAATGCATCCTAAGTAGCCCACAGCACTGAAGTAAAGGTAGGAGAGTGAGTACCAGGTGTCAGCTAGTGCAGGTCTGTGGGAAACAACAGCACATATCACATTCTGCGATTATGATCCACAGTGATTTATCAGATAGCTTAGGGTTTATGCTAGGGCCTGGATATGACAGGGTAAAAAAGACAAAAATCAAGGGGTTTTGTAGCACAAGGAAAAATACCATAGTACCATTAGAATCACATAATCCTATCGAACTTTGGAAAGAATGTCCAGCATAAAAACAGTTTTTCCATATTATTCTGTAGGTTAACTGAAGAATGATTGACCTCAATATGGTAGCTGTAGACTCAGAAAAGTACTTCAGTAATATACATCTGGAGACACCTTTGAATAGGGAGAGACTAGAAAGAAATGTGGCAAGCCAAGAGGAATAATAAGAATAATTTCACGTATATTAGTAACTTATTCAATTCAAGTAGAATCATTTTACTTGTGCGGAGTTTGTAATGATGACAGTAATTTTCAGAAAGACAAATGCAATGGAAAAAGAGGGGGTATGCCAGTCCCAGGTAGATCTTCACAGATACACAGAATTATCTGGGCATTTTTAGGAGGGTTGATGGAAGAAATGAGAAAATGCCGGGAAATATTGATAAGAATCAGAAATTGACTGCCCCAAAACAAACTAGGTGTCTGGAAGGTCTTAAATTTCCTATTTTTGAGACATGTAGCAATATTCAGTTAGAATTAATACACACTTATCAAGTCAGATACAACATTATATATATATATATATAAACCTATGTAATATATGCGTAATATATGCTATATATGTATATATCACTATATATGTAATATATACTATGTAATATATCACATATATTATATATTCATATATATGTATATATATAACATTTTTATAATGTATAATATATTATATGTTATAATTTATAATATATTTTATATTATATAAAGGGTAGATACAGATATATTGACACAATATCATTTGATCTTCCCCCAAACCAATAATTAGATGTCTACCACCTCATATTTGTCCAATAATACAGAGAGGAAAATGACAAAATCAAAATCCAAGCTTTTCATTATTTCAAAGTCCATATTTTTTCCTATACCATAACATGTCCTGAATTGTTGTCTTAGATTAGCAAGGAATGATTTTGTGATTTTGTGTCCTGAGTGTGGACAACGGCCTAGTTCTCTTCTTTTCAGGGGCTTCATTCTTTAAGGATAATATGATGCTTTTACTTGCTCATCTAATTTTCAACACTCTACTACTGCTTTATAGTATGCATTCATATTTTCAAGATTTAGTTGTGCCAAGTTTACTGTTATGTGCCTAAATACAGAAGAGCATCCACAGAAAGCCACAGCCCTGCATAGCAGTCTTCAGGCTTTTCTACTACAGAGTAATTCTCATAGGAAAGTAATCCATGTCAGCCTGATCCCTGAGGAGTGTACTTTCCCTTGGACTGAGAACCTGCTCTCTGGAGGAGAGCAGGAGCATCAACTTGAAGTCGACATACCTGTTAGAGATCTCTGAACGGATTGTCGTTGTCATATTTGATTGGACACATTGGTCTGTTGATAAAGGCAAAGGCCACGTCTTAGAATCTGGGGCAGGATAAATGAAGGACCCGATGCCTACCCAAAATGAGAAGGCGATCCCAGTAATGAAGCCTCCTAGCGCACCCTTTATGAAGAAAGAAGAAGTTAATAAGCTGTGAGACAAAGCAGTGTGTTGTAAGAGTAATGATACAAGTGGTCCTTGCCTCCACAGAGGAAGAGGCTATCCATCTCAACCACTGACCACACACATTGGAAGCAGCCTAGCTTGCCTTAAATTCTTCCCTCACAAAGCTGTCTGTTTGTTTATAGTACTGGGGTCATAGGATGGTTTCATGCATGTTAGACAAGCACTCTACCAAGGAGCTACACCCTCTGGCTCCACAAAGCTGTTTTAATGAAGAATGTGTCCCTTAAAAGATGACCCAAGAGAATTTCACAATAATCACTTTATTTCGATTTGTTGCAAGACATTTTCTTCTCTTTGGTATTTTTTTCTTGTAAAATAAATATTGGGGCTTCAATTTTCGGAGGAAGATTTTCAGAAGTTGAGGAAACCTTTAAGTAAACAGGACAATTGTAGCCATTTTTTACTGCAGCTAATACACAAAAATTCTTAATTCTATTTTTCCCCAAGTAACTTGGTTAATCTGCAATCTTAAATTTAGGCTTTATGACTGGCAAGTTTTGTAGTCTTTTGTTTCAGTCTAAGTACTACAAAGTGCAACTATTAGTCCTTTCCTTCAAACGTTCTATTTCCTGGGGAGAATAAATGGCATTTCCAAGTAACACGAAAGGAAAAAAATTGTAGGGTCCTGGTCTGATCCAGGGATCATAAAGAGGAATGTAGAATCCTTACCTTCCAGTTCACAAAAGGGAAGAGGATTCCCAGAGAGAATAAACCCAGCATCGGTCCCCCGCACATACCATGGATGCTGATGGTAGCCTGTGGAGCAATGCAGCCAGGTTAGCCCTATGATGCCACTGCACCTGTAGCTTACCTGTCACTTTCCCTTTCTTATACCTGGAATGAAATGAGGTCTTATTTCTGTTCGGGCTACTTGTCCAACACGTGCTTTCTGTAAGTCAGTTCTGAGTTTAATGATAAATATTATCTCAAAAAATAAAAAGAAAGTCTTTCCATTTCCCAACATTCTTTCTGATGGAGGTATAGAATTCCATTGTGTATATATACCACATTTTCTTGATCCATTCTTCTACTGAGAGGCATCTGGGTTCGTTCTATATCTTAGCTATAGTGAATAATGCTGCGATAAACATAGTTGTGCTGGTAGCTTTAGTATGGCCTTGTTTGTGATAGTTTGGGTAAATTCCTAAAAGTGGGATTGTTGGGTCATAGGGGAACTCTATGAATAGTCTTTTGAGGAACCTCCATACTGCTTTCCAAACTCAAAGAAACATGCATAGGTCCATGGTTTTCCTTATCTGCAATAACTAGTATATGTCTAGGACAAGCAGAAGAGGTCAAAAGCTATGTACATATGACCATATAAGATGATGCTAAGCGAAATGAACCCCAAGATAAGGATACAAGACGTTTTATCTGTCTTGTTGGTTTTTTTTAAATAATATACTATGTGATTTTGTTTGTTTCTTTGTATGTTCTTCTCCCATAGTATAACCCCTGTTGTCACTGTATTTGATTCTGGTGCCCTGCATCTTGTATATACATTTTTTTAATTTGGAGAGGGGAAGGGAAATAACAAAATTCTGAAATAAGGACACAGGTTGACCCATTATAACAATGATATGCACAAAACGCTATGTTGAAAACAAACTTTATAACTTTGTGGGGGAGAGGGAGGGAGGAGTTGGGGAGGTGGAGAGGAAAGAGATGATAGAGGAAAAACAAAGGAGGGGGTCACAATCCTTGGTAGGAAATGGACTCATTACCTTACTCATGTAACTGTAACCCCTCTGGACAGTGTCTTTACAGTAAATATATATATATATATATATATTTGAAATTAAAAAAGAAAAAAAATCAGGGCTAACAGAACCTTAGTAGATTTAGGGATATGCCTGATGTGAAAGGGGCACAGGCAAGATATAAATCCAAATTTATAACCCACATTTGCTCTTCTAAAATTAGGCTTTAAAAGAAAATCAAGAGCACAGACCACCATAATGTCCTTGTTCTTTTATATAAAAAGCAAAGAAAAAGGAGTATGTCAATAACAGGAAGAATACTCAAGATCTGAATAATAGCTCAACTGACCCAACAAAGATTTAGTGAGTTTGCTCAGTAGCTCACATCTACTGAATTTCAGAGTTTTCTTCTTTCTCTAAAAAAATACATAATGAAGGGGACTTTTAGTCCATTCTCACTTTCATGTAAACTATTTGTCCAGAAAGATAAGCTGCAATATATTACTGTTCCCTCTGTTGATTGACAGAATTAAATCCTGTTTACTGTGGCTGCAGTGTTGAGAAGCTAAATGATTAACTACCACATAGGAGAGCCAATGATATAGCTAAAACAATTATTTCTTCTTGTGAAAAAAATTACAAACTTTTCCAAAATCATTAGTATGTCTCAGAGGGTATATGGCTTCTATCTATATGACAGCAAAAAAATAAATTTGGAAACTCTCTCTCTCTTTCTCCTTCTCTCTCTCTCTCTATATATATATGTGTGTGTGTGTGTGTGTGTTTGTGTATGTGTGTGTGTATGTGAGTAGGTGGTGCATATTACAAATATATTTTCATATATATTTCCAATTTGCAAACTCAGGATAAGAACTTCTTAGTTCCTTCATCAGAAAAAACTTAATTCATTAATTACATTACCAAGAACATAGCATTGTATTAATATCATTTTAATTGCTGATTATTGCTAAAACTGAATTGCAATTTCTTTGATCATTCTTTCAATGCCTCCCTACCAGTTTTAATAGTTTCCCATTCTGAAAATCAGTTTTTATAAATTATTTTTGTGTATATTTACTTTAGACCCATTTTGCATGAATGCAAATATTTTAGGCTTGGTGGAAGGAAGATATTAGAAAGAGAGAAGGAAATGTTTTAGTGAAATCACAAGTGCCTTTTTTCTTACCTGTATAACACTACCCATGAGCGATGCAAGCACTGCCATAGAGGTGCACACTATGCCAAACAGGAGACCTGAAAGAAAGAACATTCATGATAAACAATTTCCTCAGGGAAATTAAAGAATAACTTAGGAAGTGGAAAAACCTCCCATGCTCCTGGATTGGGAGGATCAACATTGTGAAAATGTCAATACCTCCAAAGGCTATCTACAAATTCAATGTGATACCCATTAATATTCTAACCTCATTCTTCAATGAAATAGAATAAACAATCCAAAAATTCATATGGAACAATAAAAAACCCCGAATAGCAAAAACAGAAAGAACAGTTCTGGAGGAATATAAATACCAAATTTCAAATTCTACTACAAAGCTATAGTAATCAAAATAGCTTGGTACTGGCACAAGAACAGACCTCAGGACCAATGGAAAAAAACTGAAGACCCAGAAATGAACCCACAGACCTATAGCCAGCTAATCTTCAATAAAGGAACTAAAAAAATAGAATGGAAGAAAGACAGCCTCCTCAGTAAATGGTGCTGACAAAATTAGTTAATCACCTATGGAAAACTAAACCTAGATCCTTATATATCACTCTGCACCAGAATAAACTCCAAAATGGATCAAAGACCTCGAAGTCAAAGTAGACACCCTGAAAACAGGAATAAGAGGAAGTAGGAGAAACTCTAGGGTTCCTTGGCACAGGCCAAAATTTTCTTAATAGAGACCCAGAAGCACAACAAATCAAAGAAAGGTTGGACAAATGGAAGTGCATGAAACTGCAGAGCTTCTGTATGGCAAAGGACATAGCTAGCAAGATCAATGGAAAGCCCATGGATTGGGAGAAGATCTTCACTAGCCATACAACAGAAAAGGGTCTCATATCTAAAATATAGTTGGAACTCAAAAAATGAAGAAATGCTCAACTTCTCTAGCCATAAAAGAAATGCAAATCAAAACAACATTGAGACTCTACCTCAGCCCAGTTAGAATGGCAAAAAAAAAAAAAAAAGAACTCTAATAATAACAGATGCTGGAGGTGATGTGGACAGAAGGGAACCCTACTGCATTGTTGGTGGGAATGTAAACATGTTCAATCATTTTGGAAAGCAGTATGGAGGTTCCTCAAAAGACTCTGCATAGAGCTCCCCTATGACCCAGCAATCCTACTTTTGGGCATTTACCGAAATGAAAACAAGGGTATATTAAAGCTATGTTTATTGCAGCATTATTTACCATAGCTAAGATATGGGACCAACCCTGATGCCCCTCAGTAGATGAATGGATCAAGAAAATGTGATTATATATGATATTTATATATGCATTTATAATGAAATTCTATGCCTCCATCAGAAAGAATGACATCTCCCCATTTGTCAGGAAATGGAAAAACTTGGAAGAATTTTATTAAGTGAAATTTATTAAGTGAAAATTTTATTAAGGCCCAAAGAAAAATAGGTCCCATGGTTTCCTTTATTTGCAATAACTAGTATATGTCTAGGACAAGCAGAAAAGGTCAAAAGCTATGTGCGTATGACCATATAAGATGATGTTAAGCTAAATGAACCCCAAGACAGGGACATAAGTGATTTTTTCTTTCTTGCTATTGTTTTTAACATACTTATTATGTTCTATGTGATTTTTTTTTGTTTCTTTGGTACGTCGTATAACCCCTGATTTAATTGTATATGATGTTGGTGTCCTGCATCTTGTTTATACACTTCTCGTGTAACTGTAACCCCTCTGTACAGTATTTTTACAATAAAAACATTAAAAAAAGAAATTTCCTCAGGGGACTCTTGGTTTCCAGGCATTCTTGAGCACACCCACCGGAGCTATGCACAACACAAGCTCTGAATGTAAGTAATTGCAAAGAGCAAAGTCCTCTTCTAGCAGGCTGAGCCCAGGAGTGGTCCTTAAGTAAACTATGTTCTGAGCACAGGCTTTCTACTTAAGTCAGAGTGAACTACAGCAGTGCCTTATGGGTGTCTTTCCTGGGATTTCAGAGGAATTCTGTCATGCAGAAGCAACATCCAAAACAGAAAATGCCCAGGCAAATCCAGGCTGAATTCATGAAAACTAATTCTTGGTAAATTATTGGCTAGCAATGAGCTGCAAAAGTACATATTAATCTTTTTGCAAAACAGTTATTTAACTTTTAATATGGCAAAATAACACACATTCTACGTAAGAGATTGAAAAATCTGGAGAGATTCTCTTTTTTTCTTTTTTTAGTGACTTATTCACACTACTCATATTACATGTCATTAATTTTTATATCACCTTAAAGATGTGTTTACATTCTGCCACAAAGGGATTCTGAATGTTATGACTCCTCCTGAATCATAGCTCATTGAATGAGACTGTGCATTCTTTTCTGACATTTTTAAAGATGGTTATTTCTTCTGCTACTCTCTCTCTTTCTTTCTCTTTCTTTCTTTTTTTCTTTTTTTCTTTCTTTCTTTCTTTCTTTCTTTCTTCATTTCTCTGTAGGTTAAACTGTGTTTCAGTGTAACTACTAATTTAATGGTGTTAGATTATAACCATCTTATTGAATTATGATGCAATGAATTATCAATTGAATTACCAATGCAATGAAATGGAAACTGTTTTTTCCCAAAGGACACACACTCTAAGAATAGATTACACATGAATCAGCTTGAACCAAAATTTACTCAAAATCAATATATAAGACTGACTAGCACATAGTAAGTGAAATGTGCCTGCCTCAATTAAAGCAAATACTTTGATTTTCCCTGTGCATCATCAGCTCAGGAGAATAGAAAACAATACTCAACCATCAGAAAAACCCCTGCCTCAAACCAAGAGTATCTGAGTGAAAGTAATGCCTATCCAATTTCTGTGAAATCTAATTCTGAGAACAAGTTACAAGTAACTTAAGTACCCACTTACAAATAAGTAGTTGAAATCAATCTATCCTTGTTCAAACATAAGTAGAAAGAAAAAAGAACTATGGAATTCATTAAAAAGTAAAGTCAAACAAGGTAATTTATATAGATGGAAAGCTCAAGTAAAGAATACAATAGTTAAAATAAGTTACGCACAGACCTAGAAACTGGTAGTTTTAATATGCTGCAAGAATACAGAGATTGTCACCTTTACAAGTTTTTTTCAAAAAAGAATACATAGATTTTTACAAAGCAAAAAAGTAGAGGTCAAGAAAAAAAGGAATGCAAATAACAAAGAAATCCAGATAAGATATAACTTAATAGATTTATATGAAGGTAGACCAGGCATGATAAGAAAACACTTGATCATATATACACAGCTTTTGACCTTTTGTATTTGTCCCAGACATATACTAGTTACTGCAGATAAAGGAAACCATGGGACCTATGTTTCTTTGGGCCTGGCTTACTTCACTTAATATAATTTTTCCAAGTCTTTCCATTTCCTAACAAATAGGGCAATGTCATTCTTTCTGATGGAGGCATAGAATTCCAATGTGTATATATACTATATTTTCTTGATCCATTCATCTACTGAGGGGCATCTGGGTTGGTT